CCCCACCCGCTCACTTCGCACTGCTCGCACTCACTCTCGCTCCCAGATGAGGAGCCTCCCTCATGCGTATCTCTCCCTTCCATCAAGGACGGACAGCCCATTGATTTTTCGCCAAGTAACTCTTCCTCTACCCCCCCCCTCCCCCTTTCTTTTTCTCTCTTTCCGCGCGTGTCTCCTATCCTTCTTAGTTTATTTTTCACTTCCTTCTCTTTCTTTTTAGTATGACTTTCCCCACCCTATTGTCCGTGCCGACCGGTACGTGACGGTTCCAACCCCCTTTCCATATCCAGTAGGGCTGGAGGCGCATCGCTCTCTCCCTCCTCTCCAAAATAGGTTTTCACCACGAGGGTGAGCTGGGTGGATAAATTTTGAAGCGATGGCTGACCTAGTTACCTGATTTGAGCGGGCGCTTCCTGCCCTTCTCCGTTTACTCACAAAGAATTGTCTCTATCCCCATCATTTCTTTTAAGACATATCTTGTACATGGTACCGTGGAAACAAAACCGAAAATAATCTTAAAATGCGTCGGGACTGACTATATACGACGAGGAATTAGTATTTCCCTTGACACTGTCGAAAATATACAAACAACCTGGCCGGCTCCACCGCTGTCATTGAAAAGTTGACCCAACCCCCACCCTCGCCAGTCTTCTCCTCCTATTGCACGTTCACTTTTGGGATGTCGGGGACGCGAAAAATTGGTCACAAAGCGGCTGTTTCCTTGTCGTGCCGGTCCCAGCCGGGCGGCGGCCCTTTCGGCGGCCGCTTCCTGGTGCCTCTTCCCCCTTTTCTCCCTGCCAGCCCAGAGGGCTCCTTTCTTCTGCCATTGTGCTGCACTGGCGTGGCGTGTGCCCATTGCTTTGCTCCTAATTATCAGGACTTTCTTAATTTCATTCCATTTTAAACCACTATCTGGAATGAGGAGCAAGGCCTTGGGTAAAAAGAATGTCCACAGCCAATGTTTTTAAAACTGTGTCACGTGTCATCACTGAGTTGGGAGTAGACTTTGCGTGCACAGGAATTTGAAGTGTGCGGATATCTGGCAACCACCCTTTAACGAAGAAATCCACACTGTTTTTGTTGATTATTGTAGATGTGCCAGCCAAAGGTTATTCACATGTGGTCTACGAGAACGAGTAAAATGTCAATAAATTCCAAGTTCTATACATAGTGTTTGGAATTTTTCAATTTTAAATTGTGAAATAATTTTAGGGTACTCTTCATGGAAATTTTACCCTTAAAACCTACAACCACGTTTCTCAGATTGTACACCCACTCAAATGCGCTCAAATGCAACAGGGTTTTATAATAAGTTGTCGCGCGTCTACAAACGTCACATGAACTAATTCGCTCACCTGAAAGATGTATGACAATCGTAAACACGCGACTATCCATTTCGCGAGCGCGCGCGCACGTCTGTGTGTGTCTGTGTGTGTGTGTGTGTGTGTGTGTGTGTGTGGTTCCATCCCGCGCCTCCCCCCTGCCCACCCGCTCCCATCCCCCGACCAGGACCGTACGTACGCAAAACGGCGGAAGATAAATCACTCTGTGCTCGGAGTCTCTGCCGCGCCGCCGCGCCCGCGGCTGCCGTCCTCGTCGCTTTCGCGGCCCCGGCCGGGGTGGCAGAGGCGCGGCAGGACAGAAAGTCTTAAAGCGGGCGAGCAAGGCTGTGGTGACGGGCCGTGCCCGGCTGAGCCTGCCGCTTGTCGATACGGGGCGGGCCCGAGCGAGCTGGGGCGGGCTGACGGCTGTCTCGACACACCTCAGAGCATTAGGCCAACTGATCCACTTACCCTGCAGTTTAATTTGTATTCTGCTGAGCTCGCAAAGGCGACGAAAACGTCTTGTCATTTATCACAAAATATCAGATTATCAGATTATTTTGAGGCCAAAATGTACTCCCTGGTCGGTCTTATTTTCGGTATACATACCGCACGGGCAGGAGGGAGACGCCGCTACAAGACGCGGCACTTGAACAAGAAGCAAACTTTCATCATGCGCTCCGAGTGTTTTCCTTGCTGACCTCTGCTCCCCAAATCGTTCGTTTGCTCGGCGCACTTCAGAGCCACCGCAACTTTTCTCGGAGCCGTTGCTGATGCCGCCTCTCGAGCGGCCGTACACTCTGCTTGAAAACTCAGAGCGGCCACTTCTTCTTCTTCTTCTTCTTCTTCTTCTTCTTCTTCTTCTTCTTCTTCTTCTTTCTTCTTCTTCTTCCACTCCTTCCACTCCTTCCACTTCTTCCACTTCTTCCACTCCTTCCACTCCTGACTCCTTACACTTTTTCCACTCCTTACTCCTTCCACTTCTTCCACTCCTTCCACTTCTTATCCTGCGCTTTTCGAAACTGTTGGCAGCGCGGTTCTATTTTTCTAAACGCCTAAAACCGCTCGGTCTGTAAAGGGAAATTGCCGGGCGGTCAAATGGGCCGGGGAGAGTCCAAACCCCGCGCTGTTGTTTCAGGACACAAGAAAAAGCCCACCGCCCTGCGCCGCCTGGGGAAGGTTAAATATTATGTAATCCCCAAGCAAAGCTTGCATAATGAATGGACCGCAAGCTCGCTGTTTTTCGGTGAGGAGGGGAGGAGGGAGGAGGGATGTGTGGAGCGCACTCCACTGTGCTTGAATCTCATCCGCAACCTCCCCCTACCCTTCAAAGGCAACGGTCAAGGATCTCTCTATACCTTTGCAATACATTTATTATTTCCGTGTCCGTTTAGTGTGTACTGGTTTGGTTACGTTCAGTTCTGGATGAGCAAGCTAAGCTGTGAGACATTCTTTCCAAAGCTAAGACAGAAGCTTAAAATTTGAGATGATGGATTAAATTATCAATCACAGCAGAGAGGATATTTCATTAGTAAAGAATTTAAAGTTTTATTCCATGTCAATTTCAAATGATACTTCCTAACTACACGACTGACGTTCTATCGCAGATTCCTAATGGTTTTATTTCTTTGTTTCAGATCTCCCGCGCCGGTCAAGAGGTCACCAATGACGCCACGGCGGAGCCTCTAAAAGCCTGTCCCTCGCCTCCCCCAAAACTCTCCCCAAAAAGAAACAAGCCCCCCAAATACCGCAACCCCTCAAACACGTGGCCCCAAAACCAAAAACTTATAAACCTAAATTCCCCCAAAACTTTCGCCTCGACAACACGCTGCCGCCTCCTCATCACAAAACAATCTCTCATACCAATCGACCTTCCAAATTTGTTTAAACGCGTCCGTAGTGCGATGAGAAAGAGGGAAAAGCGAAAAAACCTGCCAACGCAAGTTAAATAATAAACTAAAACCAAACATATATATATAATATAAAAAAGAGCACGCGTCTTGTGGATACACAGCATGGGAGGGTGATGCGCTGGCCAGCCTCGCCCAGCCGACTTCGACTACGCCGACAGGCCTTCCCTTCGCAGCGAGCGGCTTTGCCTCTAGGCGATGACCCGTCCACCACGCCCTGCTCTACGGTAAGTGTCTCCAGCTCCAGTGCACTAATGTGTAAGGTGTGCTAGAAAAATATTTCTGTATGTGTGTGCACTGGAAAACCAAAGGTAGGATTCCAAACCCATTTTGGGGGTGTTCACAACTTGAGTGGCTACTGAGGGGCTCAAATAAGCAACTCTGGGAAGTCACGAAAGTGCTACAAAAACGCACTAAGTCATACCTTTGTTTTTCCAGTGTGATACTGGAAAATGTTTATTACACGTTCGGTATAGGTTGATGTTACGTGTCGTCGAGGTGGGGTGCATTTGAAGACGGAAACGCTTATTACAAGGTAGACGCACGTTAAAACCGCGTGAAGCTGGGCTAAATGTGCGTCTACCTTGGCCTGCGGCGGGCTAAAATTAAAATGGTTTGGTTGGCATGCCTGTCCACCTCACATCCCACGTCTCACGCCAGGCGCCTCACTTTACGCCGTCTTCCGGGCGGTCTCCCCTTGCGCTACCTGACAGAGCTGAGCATTTAAAGTTAAAGTTTAATTTCAAGTTCAAGTTAAGCTCAGCAATTAAAAGTCATTGCATTTCTGTAGCAGGACATCTGGTTGATGTTTTATCACTACATATCACGCCAAAAAGCCTGTTTGCTATTTCAGCGAACAGGATTTTTTGCGTGCATTTAGTTTTGTCAGGGATAAGTACATTATCACTGTGAAAAGTTTTCTCTTAAAGTTACGACATTTCGTGTAGTTTGGAATTACAAAATAATTTTGTAAATTTACGGCGGACCATTTTTGCTCCTCGGTTAATTCCAAGTCGATAGGAAGTGATTGTAATTTTACAAGTTCAAGTTGTAATTTTACGGACTCACATCATTTAGAATTTCCCTGTAAACTTACGAGTATTTTTCACAGAAATAGTCTGAATTTTTTTAGCGGCACTGAACGTGCTAATGAAACTATCCGTGTGAACGCCTTGTCATGCTGTGTCGTGACAAGACACACTTTGCTCGGTGCTGGGCCTCCCCTAGTGGTCCGAGTGCTTATGCCTATCCCCTCGGTCGGATTCATTGTGGTCAGGGTGCTAAGACCTCTGCTAGTAGTTTCCAGCGCGTTATCGGCCCTAAGTTGGTAAGTCACCTGGGAGGGTGGGGGGCGTGCGCGATGAAAGCTTTTGGGGAAGCTCTTAGTTATGCCGCGAATGGGGAGGGAGCAAATGTGTGCACGAGGGCGGTTGTTTTCGTCTTTTCCCCCAACGGAATATACACTCACCTCTGTCGACTTGTGATCATGGAGCGCGACACGCTTGCTTTGGCACATTCGCATCTGAACGCCAAACGAACGCTGCGACTCAAACCGAAAGCGCCCCTTCACCCACGCCCATTTACCTTTATACGTCTGCTGGGACTCGTCTCCCCTTTCTCACTCTTTTTTCCATCGAGTCTTTTATCCCCAGTTTTTTCTTTTGCCGTCACTGTGTCATGTCACAGTGGTGCTCTCTCCCACCACTCTCTCCTCTCCACCCTTCTCGCTCCCTGTTCTCTCTCCCTCTCCCTCGGCGAATTATTGAACAGACGCAGACAGTATCTCCGTCAACAGCCACGTCTAGTGCCAGGGATTTGGTGAAGGCTTCCAAAAAAATGTCTAAGGTGCGTCCGTAACTCGTGTGCGTGCTTCTTGAAGAAATAAGGTCGTTTCGTGGTTGGTCCCTTGGACAGACTGCGGTGCGCCCGTTATTGGTTCCTTCCTGTTTATCTGTTGTTTGTGTGTCTATTAGTGGGGATCCGCTTTGTCTGCGGTGGCCTTCAGCCAAACGAGGGTCTCCCCTGCCCTGGCTGATGTGCCGGGCTTTTGGTTTCTTGTATGGGAATAAAAGTTAAGGGTCAATTTGTTTTCACCATATATTTATCGATTTTCAATGTTCTCATTCGAATACATTGCGCTGGTGCACTTGTTCAGGTACTTGACAACTTTGTAACAAGTACACACCAGGTGGCTGATTAACCCCGCTTCTGTCATTATGCTGCGGGAGGGTTGCCTACTCGCTCGGCCCGTAAGGCGCGGCCATCAGAGGCCGCATTCGTGCGTGCTGTACAGTATAACCACGGAAGTGCGCGGGGTTAATCAGCCACCTGGTATATAGTTCTCGAAAGAACCGTAATATATTTGATTGAATGGAGACCGTTGAAAATTAAGAACACATTTTTTGTGCGGTAAGTCTTGTGTCTTAAGGCCCCTTGCAAGTAGACAACGCGTCCACACATCTAGGTGCGGTAACTAAATTGTGCTCCTGGGTCTGTGTACCCCCCTTTTAAAGAGGAAGCTGGGAAAGGGGTGAATCTACGATAGTGTAATCAATTTTGATACTAAGTGTATTACGCGGATAAAGTTGGCATCTAACTCCACTTCTTTTTGTGTGAACCAGGATCTCTGTTAACTCCCTTCCTCGTCCCTCCTTCAATGTCTCAACCACCGCATTTCCTAACCCTGTCTTGAGCTCCTCCGTCGTCGATATTTGTTCCACAAGAGTCGGAGTCCTTCTCTGAAAAACAATAGAGAAGACAAGAGTGCTTGCTTAGTTCGTCTTGAAACTTGCTTCACCCTGAGTTAGCGACTGATGCGCGAGCGCTTCGCTGTGCATTAAGGAATTAGTCCGTCGCAATTTAATTACAGTTTTCTTTCCTAAATGAACGTGCTTAATTTGTGCTTTACAAATCTAGGAGTCAAACCTAGCCTCTTGAACTACCCACTGATTGTCATCGTGGCTACCTTGTCTGTACCGGGTGATTCAGAGAAGACGCAGGTGCGGGCGGGTTTGCCTATCCTCGACTCGGTGGGCGCAAGGGTCCAGGTCTGGGGAGAGGTGAGGAGGGGACCCTGCTCAGGCCAGTGCCAGTGGACTGAAACTCGTCCTTGTTCTTCGGAAACTGTCGCGAATACCTGTGGTCAGTACCGCTGTAGAGACTTCATACATAAAGCAAAGTGCAAAGTGTGTCCCTATCTCTCTCGGCCAGCCACGCTCTCGGGCTAGGCGCACTAGAAAACCTGCTTGTTGAGCCGCGGAGTTTCAGACTCCTAAGACGACAGCGCCCTGGAAAACAGCTCAAAGAAATTCTATAGACAGAAGTCTGCACTTGCTTACACTATTTGCTCCGCACCCGGGCTGATAACATCGCATCGCAGCAGTAACAGTCGGCACTTGACTTTTCCAGCCATATTTTACGAAGCCTTTCACGTTAGATATGTTCTGACTTAAGCCTGCGTAAACCTGGTAGTACACTACATACACGTACTCTAATTTTAAGACGTTTTCCCGTGTGCTAAGTTAGGGGGAGGGGAGGCAAGGACGTTGGAAAACAGCCTGGCCCTCACGCACAATGTATCCCCTCCAGCCACCTGCCAAATCCTCCCCACTTGCCGCCACCGTCTGTCGTGGCAATCAACATTTTTACTGCCCACTCCATCTCCCGGCCACCTCTCCTTGGGGGAAAAGTGAATGTTGCAGACGCCGGCTGTCGGTCCGAGTCGCGGGCGGGGTCCTTGGGGGGTCCGCCGGGCGCAGGGCGAGGCCCGAGGCGCCCAGCCGAGTGTGAGTAATGCCTGTTCGGCCAGCGGCGGCAGCCTCGGCGGCGGCGCTGTGGAGGGACGCGCCACGTCGTCGGGGAGGTCGCCGCGCGGCGTCGGCATCTGACGGTCTGAAATGGGAAAGCGAGAGAGGAGGAGGAGGGGGTGGTGTTGGAGGCGGCGGCGGCGGTGGCGCCGGGACGCACAAGTAATGAAGGTGGCGGTGATAAGAGGAGGTCCCTTTCAGATCTTCCTCTTTCCCCTCCATCTTTCTCTCTCCCTCCCTCCGTCTCTTTTCCCCCATTGCGGACGATCGCCTTCTCTCGCTCACTCGCTCATTTCGCCCTGTTCAGACCGCCCTGCCTCCGCCGCCGTCGTCCCGCGTCGGCTGCTCTCAGCAACAGGTAAAGCAAAGGCAAAGGCATGGCTGGAAAATATGTTTTCCCGTTCGCCGACTCACCGGCGCCGCCGAGGACTCCACCGCGGCCTCGGGTTTGCGGGGGCTGCGAGGCTATCCCCCGGCCGGTCCGGCCCGCGCGCCGGGCCCACTCCCCATGTCATGCTCGCGTGGTCCAGCAGGCGCCCACCGGACCCACCCCG